CCAAGGAAGCAGACAGCGTTTTCAAGAGAAGGACGCAGAAGCCCTGCCATAAGATCCAGCCAGCTGTGCAATACAAAGTCCATCGTGGGCCCCAGACTCCAGCCTGCAAGGCTCTTGTCCACATTATTTTAGAAAGTCTAAAGAAGTGACACTAGTTTATTTATTTATTTATTTTGAAACAGACTCGCTCCACGCCCAGGCTGCAGTGCAGTGGCGTGATCTCCTCTCATCAGACTCCGCCCCAGGCAGCTGCATTCTTCCTGCCCCAGACTCCTCCAGAGGCCTGGATGATACGCACCGGCCACCACTCACATGCTTTTTGGATTTTAGAGACCTGTTTACCATGTTGGTCAGGCTGGTCTCAACTCTACCTTGGGATCCACCCGCCTGCCAAAGTTCTGGGGATGCCAGGTTAGCCACCGTGCCTGGCCGATTTGTTCGGTCATTTTCTTCCTAAGCTGCTGCCACCCAGCAGGGGATCCTGGAACTCTATGTATCCCTGCTGACAGTGACTAAAAGTAATAAATCAGAGAAGGCTATCCACTCTGCAAAGAGCTGCCAGCCAGGAGCCTTTCTGAGGACCCACTGAGTCAGAAGAGACAGGCACTACGCCTGGCATGAACCCACGGGGCGCAGGAGGCATGAAGGGGTGAGCTCGAGGCTGGTGGGTTTGTATTTGAAAAGCTCAGCCAGGTACGGTGGATGAGGCTGAGTCCCAGAGTCTGAGACCAAGTCTCTACAAAAGTTTAAAAATGGCCGGTGGCGGCTCAAGCCTGCATCCAGCACTTTGGGAGCTGAAAGTGTGGGCTGATCACGAGGTCAGGAGATCGAGACCATCCCAAGCCATGGTGAAACCCCGTCTCAGCTCAAAAATACAAAAATTCACGCGGTGTGGCGGGTACCCTGTAGTCCCAGCTACTCGGGAGGCTGAGGCAGGAGAATCGCTTGAACCCGGGAGGCGGAGATTGCAGTGAGCCGAGATTGCGCCACTGCACTCCAGCCTGGCAACAGAACGAGACTGTGAAAAAAAAAAAAATGCTGAAGCCAAATGGGGGGTGTGTGGTGGTGGTTCACGCCTACAATCCCAGCACTTTTGGGAGGCTGAGCAGGAGGATTTCGGGCGGCCCAGGAGTCTGAGACTCATTAGCTGCAGGAGAGACTCAGTCTCAAATAAAGCTAGGTGTGCGGCATGCATCTGTAGTTCTAGCTACTCGGGAGGCTAAGGTGGGAGGATCATGAGTCTGGGAGTCTGTTGAGGCTGCAGTGAGCCATTATCACAGCACTGTACTCCAGCCTGCGAGACGAGCAGAACCCTTTATTCAAAAAATAAAAACAAGACTCAGGTGGCGGACCCTTCGAGGTCAGTAGGCTGGGTTCGATGCAGCCTGGGTCACCATGGCAAAATCGTGCTCTATCAAAAAATACAAAAATTAGCCTGCCGGGTGACGCACGCCTGTAATCCAGCTACCCAGGAGGCTGAGGCAGGAGAATCGCTTGAACCGGGAGGAGGTTGCAGTGAGCCTCTTATCGCACCACTGCACTCCAGCCTGGGAAGGATAGAGCAAGATTACATCTAAAAATAAAATAAAATATAGGGGTCAGGCATGGTTGCCTACGCCCCTGTCATCCCAGCACTTTGGGAGGCGAAGGCATGGTGGATCACGAGCCGGCAGATAGAGACTAGCCTGAGCCACACAGGCAGTGCAAACCCCATCATTAAAAATTCAAAATTAGCCCGGGCAGGTGGTGGCGCGATCATGCAATCCCAGCCACTTGGGAGAGGCTGGGCGTGGAGAATTGGTCGGGACCTGGGAGGTGGAGGCTGCACGAACCGAGATCACACCACGCCACCCAGCCTGAAGAAGGGAGCAAGATTATAATCTTAAAAATTAAAATAGAAATAAAAGAAAAGCGTGTTTAGGAGGAGATGTTTGACTCCAGGAAGTGGCTGTTTCCAGTGCTGGGAGGAATGATTCTCCAAGACTCAGAGATCTCAGAGCATGTCAAAGTGCATCAGAATGCAAAAAATAAAGATCTTGCTAGGCTAGGCGCGGTGGCCTACACCATCCCAGCATCTTGGGAGGCCGAGGCGGGCAGATCACGCAGGAGAGGTCAAGAGATCGGCCGGCCTGATGGTGAAACCCTGTCTCATTAAAAACACAAAATTAGCCAGGTGTGGCAGCTTGCACCTGTCTTGCCCAGCTACTCTGGGAGGCTGAGGCAGAGAATCGCTTGAACCCGGGAGGCGGAGGCTGCAGTGAGCTGAGATCGCCCCACTGCACTCCAGCCTGGGCACAGAGGGACCCATCTCAAAAATAAAATAAAAACATTGGCTTACACGCTCCTACAGAGATCAGGAGATACAGCTCTGAGGTTTTGGGGGTTGGGGGTACTCACCGAGGTCGCATACAAGTGGGAACCTGGGAAGGTCAGTGCAGGCAGTGAGCACGCTCCGTTGACGCCCAGACTCCTGCAGAGCTTGTATGAACTGCAGCCGCGCTTCGCCCATGCAAAACTACTGTGACAACGGTGAAGATTCGGCAGCCCACAAAGGTGTATAACCCTCACATGAGAACAGAGCGCACTCTACACAGGGCACTCTGAGAGTCACATGCAGAAGGATAATGAGTCAGCCCATGGGGATGGGGGGAACTGCAGGTCGGGCCACCGGTACCCAGCCTGGGAAACTCCAGGGTCTAGAGCCAGAACTGATCACTGTTCCCTGACAAGGAGCCCCCCGCCATGGGAAGGGATTTCTATCCGAAGAGGAGTTTATTGTTTTCAAGAGGAAAGTCGAGAATACGTCCCCACCCACAGAGCTCAGCCCCAGAGGACAACCAGAAGGTGGGGTCTATATATCCTGGGGTGGCCCTAGAAGGTGGAACTAGTAAAGAGGCTAGAGAAAAGGCAGGAACTAGTAAGGAGGGAGGATGGAGCCAAGAAGGACAGGTGGACACGGAGGGGCAGACAGAGCCTGCAGGCTGTGGCCCCTCCTCCTGGGTCCGCAGAGCCTGGCTGTGGGGGCTCTACTCCCAGAGTAATGAGGGCCGGAAAAACTGCCTCCAGTACCGGGTCACTACTCAGGTGATGGCAATACCTAAAAGTCCAGGCCCACACTGTAAACATGTAAGCATGGAAGAGACGGGGACTTGCTCACTAAACAGATACATATGGCACACACATAATGTACACATGCATATATATTCACATATATACAGCGAATAAAGAAGGAGAAAAGAAAAAGGAAAGAAGAAATAAAACGAGAGAAAGAAAGAAAAAGAAAGAGAGAGAGAGAGAGAGAAAGAAAGAAAGAGAAAAGAAAAAGAAAGAAATATAATAATAAGGAAGAATAACAATAAGGACAAGGAATAATAAGAAGGAAGGAAGGAAGGAAGGAAGGAAGGAAGGAAGGAAGGAAGGAAAAGAAAGAAATGGGTGAGGGAAGGAGGAAAGGAGAGAGGGTGGGTGGGAGGGAAGGAAGGAAGGAGTAAGGGAAGGAGGGAAGGAAGGAAGTGAGGGAGGGAAGTAGAGAGGGTGGGAGGGAGGGAAGGGAGGAAGGAAGGAGACAGGGAGGGAGGAAGGGAGAAAGGAAAGAAGGTAGGAAGAAAAAAAAAGAAGGAAGGAAAGAAAGAGAGAAAGAGAGAAAGAGAAGAAAGAAAGAAAGAAAGAAAGAAAGAAAGAAAGAAAGAAAGAAAGAAAGAAAGAAAGAGGGAGGGAGGGAGGGAGGAAGGAAGGGAGGAAGGAAGGAAGGAAGGAAGGAAGGAAGGAAGGAAGGGAGGGAAGAAGGAAGGAAGGAAAGACAGACCAACCGAAAGGAGAAGAGAAGAGGAAAAAAGGAGGGGAAATACGGGGCATGAAAACAGAGAAGACGAGAGAAAGGAGAAGACGGGAGAGGAGAAGGAGAGAGGCAGGCGAAGGGAGGCGACGGGAGAGGTAGAAATGAAAAGAGAGGAGAGAAGGGAAGAGAAAGAAAGGAGGAAAGAGAGGAGAAAGGAAGAGGAAAAGAAGAGAAAGGATGAAAGGGGATGGGAGGGAAAAGGAGAGGAGAGGAAAGAAGAGAGTGAAGAGAGAAGAGAGAGGAGACAAGAGAGGGAAGATGGGAGAGAGGAGGGCGGAGATGGAGAGGAAAAGAGAGGAGAGGAGGAAAAGGAGAGAAAGAGAGGAGGACAGAAGAGGAAGAGAGGGAACAGGATGGAAGGAGAGGAGAGGGGAGGGGAATAGAGGGGAGAGAAGGGGAGGAGAGGAGAGGCTGGGGGACAGACCCATCAATCCACCTCCATCTTAGAATTCCAGGTAAGAGCTTCAGGCAAAGGCCAAAGCTGTGTCCACGTCCACAAAGCAAAGTGAAGAACTGGGGTCTCCCCTGGCCTCACCTTCACCTCTGACCAAATCAAAAACTGGGCCTCTATTTTCTTTCTTTTCTTTTCTTTTCTTTTTTTTTTTTTTTTTTTTTTTTTTGAGACGGAGTTTCACTCTTGTCGCCCAGGCTGGAGTGCAACGGCGTGATCTCAGCTCACTGCAACCTCCATCTCCCAGGTTCAAGCGGTTCTCCTGCCTCAGCCTCCCGAGTAGCTGGGATTATCGGTGTGCACCACCACGCCCGCCTAACTTTTGTATTTTTAGTAGAGATGGGGTTTCACCATGTTGGCCAGGCTGGTCTCGAACTCCTGACCTCAGGTGATCCGCCCACCTCAGCCTCCCAAAGTGCTGGGATGACAGACGTGAGTCACCGCGCCTGGCCGGTGCCTCCATGTTCTACATAAACACTGAGTTTGTGAGTAGTCCTTTGGAAGGAAGGGTCAAGTTGCACCCACTCAGGAACTGGATCCATTCGAACATCAGAATCTGGGATGGTAGTGGGGGTGGGGGGTGTTATTTTAAATTAAATGGTGACTTCCTCCTGGGTTATCCCGTTTGAGTACATTGATTGGGTCTCCTAAGTCCTTTAGAAATAAACACAATCTTATCTGAGTTGTTGGTTTCAAAGTGATGGGTGTTACCTGTAGATGGCTGTAAAAAGGTCTTCAGCGGGAATGCCAAACGTCTGCAGGTACTGGTTCTTTCCTTCTCTAAGAAAAGAGAGGGAAGGCTGCTGTTTAACTACCTCATCTCATCTCATCATCTCATCTCATCTCATCATCTCATCATCTCATCTCATCATCTCATCATCGCATCTCATCATCTCATCTCATCTCATCTCATCATCTCATCTCATCATCTCATTTCATCTCATCTCATCATCTCATCTCATCATCTCATCATCTCATCTCATCATCTCATCTCATCATCTCATCTCATCATCTCATCATCTCATCTCATCATCTCATCATCTCATCTCATCTCATCTCATCTCATCTCATCATCTCATCTCATCATCTCATCTCATCTCATCATCTCATCTCATCATCTCATCTCATCATCTCATCTTCTCATCTCATCTTCTCATCTCATCTCATCTCATCATCTCATCTCATCTCATCATCTCACCTCATCATCTCACCTCATCATCTCATCTCATCATCTCATCTCATCATCTCATCTCATCTCATCTCACCTCACCTCACCTCATCATCTCATCTCATCATCTCATCATCTCATCTCATCTCATCTCATCTCATCATCTCACCTCACCTCATCATATCATATCATATCATATCATATCATCTCATCTCATCTCATCTCATCATCTCATCTCATCTCATCTCATCTCATCTCATCTCATCGCATCGCATCTCATCTCAGTCGCCCAGGCTGGAGTGCAATGGCATGATCTCGGCTCACTGCAACCTCTGCCTCCCAGGTTCATGCCATTCTCCTGCCTCAGCCTCCCGAGTAGCTGGGACTACAGGCGCCCGCCACCACGCCCAGCTAATTTTTGTATTTTTAGTAGAGACGGGGTTTTACCATGTTGGTCAGGCTGGTCTCGAACTCCTGACCTCTTGATCCGCCCACCTTGGCCTCCCAAAGTGCTGGGATTACAGGTGTGAGCCACCGTGCCCGGCCTTATCTTATTTTATGAGATGGAGTCTCGCTCTGCCGCCCAGGCTGGAATTCTGTGGCACTATCTTGGCTCACTGCAATCTCCGACTCCTGGGTTCAAGCAATTCTCCTGCCTCAGCCTCCCACGTAGCTGGGACTATAGGCGCCCGCCACCACGCCCGGCTAATTTTTTGTATTTTTAGTAGAGACGGAAGTTTCACTGTGTTAGCCAGGCTGGTCTTGATCTCCTGACCTCAAGTGATCTGCCCACCTCGGCCTCCCAAAGTGCTGGGATGACAGGCGTGAGCCACCGCACCTGGCCACACCAGGTGATTTCTACCATCTACTCTGGGTAAGCAAGTCTAGCAATGCCATGTTTGTTTCTGCAAGAAATCTGCCATTTCAGGCTGGGTGAGGTGAGATGGTGCCACTGCACTCCAGACTGGTCGACAGAGCGAGACTCCATTCAAAAAATAAATAAATAAATAAATTAAAAAAAAAAGGCTGGGTACGGTGTCTCACACCTATAATCCCAGCACTTTGGGAGGCTGAGGCGGGCAGATCACCAGAGGTCAGGAGATCGAGACCAGCCTGGCTAACATGGCGAAACCCCGTCTCTAGTTGGACATAGTAGCGGGCACCTGTAGTCCCAGCTACTCGGGCGACTGAGGCAGGAGAATGGCTTGAACCCGGGAGGCGGAGGGTGCAGTGAGCCGAGATCGCACCACTGCACTCCAGCCTGGGAGACAGAGCGAGACTGTGTCTCAAAAAAAAAAAAAGAAAGAAACCTTCCCTTTCATCTCCTCCAATGCCCCTTCACCAGCCCCCCGGGGGTACCGCCTGGATGCAGCCCCCACCTCACAGCATCTGCCAGATGGCCCCAGCACCCGTAACTGGTCCTGCCCATATACTTCAGCAGGCTGCATTGTGACGTCGGGCTGACCCTGGTCAGGTAGGCGCTGGACAGCTCTGTGTTTTCATAGAAAGCTGAAACACACAAAAAAGAACAGGGAGAAAGCAGTGAGATTCCGAGTCCCTGCCGGCGGACGCTCCCCAGCTCACCAACGTGGTGATTTCCACATGATTCCTGCCTGGGAGCGCCAATACCCGCACAGCTGGGGCGTTCTGTGGAAGGCACAAAGGTGACCCGGGGCAGCTGGCACCCATGTCGGGTTCGGTTTAGACAAATCCCATCGGGAGTTTTGGGTGGAGGAAGTACAAATGCAGTTGAACCATGAGAGGAAACACACATTACATTTCCCCAGTGTCTAAAATAACGTATTGAGGCCGGGCACGGTGGCTCACGCCTGTCATCCCCGCACTGTGGGAGGCCGAGGCGGGTGGATCACCTGAGGTCAGGAGATCGAGACCAGCCTGGCCAACAGGGCGAAATCCTGTCTCTACTAAAAATACAAAAACTAGCCTGGCCAGGTGGCGGGTGCCTGTAATCTCAGCTACTGGGGAGGCTGAGGCAGGAGAATCGCTTGTACCTGGGAGGCGGAGGTTGCAGTGAGCCGAGATTGCACCACTGCAGTCCAGCCTGGGCAACAGAGCGAGACTCTGTCTCAAAAACAGAGCGAGAGGGCCGGGCGTGGTGGCTCACTCCTGTAATCCCAGCACTTTGGGAGGCCGAGGCAGGTGGATCACCTGAGATCAGGAGTTTGACACCAGCCTGGCCAACATGCTGAAACTCCGTGTCTACCAAAAATACAAAAAGTAGCTGGGCGTGGTGGTGGGTGCCTGTAATCCCAGTTACTCAGGAGGCTGAGGCAGGAGAATCGCTTGAACCGGGGAGGCAGAGGTTGTAGTGAGCTGAGATCTCACCACTTCACTCCAGCCTGGGGACGGAGTGAAACTCCGTCTCAAAAAAAAAAAAAAAAAAAAAAAGACACCCCATCATTCGCATAATATCTCTGGCTAGTTTTTTTTGTGTGTATGGTTTTGTTTTTTGTTTTGTTTTGACGCAGGACCTTGCTCTGTTGCCAAGGCTGGAGTGTAGCGGTGTGACCATAGCTCACTGAAGCCTCGAACTCTTAGGCTCAAGCAATCCTCCTGCCTCAGCTGGGACCTGACTAGCTGGGACCACAGGCATGTACCACGACTCCCAGTTCATTTTTGTATTATTATTATTAATTTTTTTTTTTTTGAGATACAGTCTTGCTCAGTTGCCCAGGCTGGTGAGAAATGGCACAATCTCAGCTCACTGCAACCTCTGCCTCTCGGGTTCAAGCAATTCTTCTGTCTCAGCCTCCCGAATAGCTGGGACCACAGGTGTATACCACGTCTCCCAGTTAATTTTTCTGTCTTCTTTAGAAATGGGGTCTCGCGACATGGCCCAGGCTGCTCTCGAACTCCAGGGCTCAAGGAATCCCCCAGCCTGGGACTCGCACTCTGGCAGCTTTGACGTCCCCAGGGCAGACCTCGGTAGTTACGACACAAACCACACAACCCCCAAACCTGCAAATACAGACGGAATCTCGCTCTGTCGCCCAGGCCGGAGTGCTGGGGTGTGATCTCGGCTCACTGCATCCTGTGCCTCCCGGGTTCACGCCATTCTCCTGCCTCAGCCTCCCCAGTAGCTGAGAAGACAGGTGCCCGTCACCACGCCCGGCTAATGTTTTGTATTTTTTTTAGTAGAAACAGGGTTTCGCAGTGTTAGCCGGGATGGGGACGGTCTGGCTTTTTACAGAACACATGGGCTGCAGAGGGTGGCCCACTTAAAATGCCTCCTTCAAAACGCCCGTGTCCTCACCTTTTCCTGCCCTCGTCTCCACTTTCAACAGCTTCAGGGACACGCAGGTGTCCAGCAGGAGCTCTGTCCCGTGGGAGCTGGCCTCCACACCTGCAGCCACCGCTGCCACGTCCAGGGGCCCTGGGGCCTCGGCGAGAAGGTCGAACACCCCCAGCTCGCAGGCGGCGAAGAGAACCTCGGAGGAGGAGCAGAAATAAAAGGTCAGCGCCTGACCCTGGGAACCCATAGCCATAGAAACACCTCATAAAAGGCCAGGCTGGGGAGGAACGCATTGTTTTATTTATATTTTTATTCATTTCTTTCTTTCTTTTTTTTTTTTTTTGAGACGGAGTCAAATGAGGTTGCACCACTATGGAAAACAGGCATATTTATTTATTTATTTACTTACTTATTTATTTATGTTAATTTATGTATGTATTTTGAGATGACGTCCCACTGCATCGCCCAGCCTGGAGTGCAGGGGCGCGATCTCGGCTCACCCGAACCTCCGCTTCCCGGGTTCAAGCGATTCTCCTGCCTCGGTCTCCCGAGTAGCTGGGATTACAGGCCTATCCCACCATCCCCGGCTAATTTTGATATTTTTAGTAAAGACGGGGTTTCACCATGTTAGCCAGGCTGGTCTGGACCTCCTGACCTCAAGTGATCCACCCTCCTCAGCCTCCCAAAGTGCTGGGATGACAGGCGTGAGCCACCGCGCATGGTCCTCGCTCTCTCTCTTTGAGACAGTCTCGCTCTGTCATCCAGGCTGGAGGGCAGTGGTGCAATCTCAGCTCACTGCAACCTCCACCTCCCGGGTTCAAGTGATTCTCCTGCCTCTCCCTCCCGAGTAGCTGAGATTACAGGTGCCCACCACCACGCCCAGCTAATTTTTGTATTTTTAGTAGAGACGGGGTTTCTCCATGTTGGTCAGGCTGGTCTTGAACTCCTGACCTCAAGTGATCCACCCGCCTCAGCCTCCCAAAGTGCTGGGATGACAGGTGTGAGCCACTGCGTCCAGCAGCTCTTGTTCTAGTAACTTTGTATTAACTAATTTTTTCTGTTAAGGGTAGAGAAAGTTTTATTAAGGTTGGATTAATAATAATTAATAATAATTCTATTAAGATTGTGTTAACTTGTTTCGTTAAGCTTTTATGGTTGTTATTCTGTTAATTATATTAAGGTTGTCTTAGCTCCTGTTTTATTTGTATTAATTAATTACTCTATTAAGGGTGTATTAGGTTATTCTGTTAAGGTTTTATGAGTTCTTGTTCTTATGAAGCTTGTATTAAGATGTATTCTATTCAGGTGGTGTTACCTTTTCTGTTAAGCTGTTATTAATTCCTGTTTGGTTAAGGTTGCATTGACTGCTTGTTACAGTAAAGTCTGCATCAAGTTTATTCTACTAAGCTTGTATTAGCGCCTTTTCTATTAAAGCTAGATTAGGCCGGGCGCCATGGCTCACACCTGTCATCCCAGCACTTTGGGAGGCCGAGGCAGGCAGATCACTAGAGGTCAGGAGATCGAGACCAGTCTGGCGAACACAGTGAAACCCCATCTCCACTAAAAATACAAAAAGTAGCCAGGTGTGGTGGTGGTGTACGCCTGTAATCCCACCTGTTCAGGAGGCTGAGGCAGGAGAACGGTGTGAACCCGGGAGGCGGAGGTTGCAGTGAGCTGAGATTACACCACTGCACTCCAGCCTGGGTGACAGAGTGAGACTCAGTCTTAAAAAAAAAAAAAAAAACAGCTATATGAATTCTTGTTCTTTAATGTTGTATTAACCTTTTAAAACTAGCGTTGTGCTCTGTTTTATTCATTAAAGTTGTATTCATTCCTGTTGGGGTTGGGTGAATTAATCGTTCTTTTAAGGATATGTTAAACGTTATCTTCTTATGTCTATGTTCACTCTTGGTCTATGAAAGTGGCATTAACTAATTGTTTCTGTTAAGGGTGTACTAAGCTTGATCTTTCTTTTTTTCTGCTCCCAAAAAGTTTTTTTATTATTATTATTATTATTATTATTATTATTATTATACTTTAAGTTCTGGGATACATGTGCAGAATGTGCAGGTGTGTTACACTGGTATACACGTGCCATGGTGGTGTGCTGTGGGTATACACGTGCCGTGGCGGTCTGCTGTGGGTATACACCTGCCATGGTGGTGTGCTGTGGGTATACATGTGCCATGGTGGTGTGCTGTGGGTATACACCTGCCGTGGCGGTCTGCTGTGCGTATACACCTGCCATGGTGGTTTGCTGCACCCATCAACCCGTCACTTACATTAGGTATTTCTCCTAATGCTATCCCTCCCGTAGGCCCCACTTTTTTTTTTTTTTTTTTTTTTTTTGAGGATACTGGGTCTGGCTCTGTCTGCCAGGCTGGAGTGCAGTGGTGCAATCTTGGCTCACTGCAACCTACGCCTCCCGGGGTTCAAGCGATTCTCCTGCCTCAGCCTCCTGAGTAGCTGGTACTACAGGCACCTGCCACCACGCCCAGTTGATTTTTGTATTTTTAGTAGAGATGGGGTTTCACCATGTTGGCCAGGCTGGTCTCGAACTCCTGACCTTGTGATCCGCCCGCCTCGGCCTCCCAAAGTGCTGGGATTACAGGCGTGAGCCACCGAGCCCAACCAAGGGGATACTCAATGTTATCTTCTTAGGTCTGTGTTCACTCTTGGTCTATGAAAGTTGCATTAGCTAATTGTTTCTGTTAAGGGTGCACTAAGTTTGATCCTCTTAAGGTGGTTTTAACTCTGCCTTAAGCCCGGTTCTGTTCAACTGCTGACAAGATTTCGGACGCAGCAAACCCCCTGTGAACCAGCGACAGGCTTCGAATGAGCAGTCAGTAGCCCCAGCAGGCTGCCTGTGGTCAAAGGAGGCAAAGGGAGCAAGTGACTGTTGTCTGGGACAGTAACAGAAACCCCACGTCTACTAAAAAATAGAAAAGTTAGCCAGACGTGGTGGCACGTGCCTGTCATCCCAGCACTTTGGGAGGCCGAGGCGGGCAGATCACGAGGTCAGGAGATCGAGACCATCCTGGCTAACACGGTGAAACCCCGTGTCTACCAAAAAATCCAAAAAATGAGCCAGGTGTGTTGGTGGGTGCCTGTAATCCCAGCTACTTGGGAGGCTGAGGCAGGAGAACTGCTTGAACCTGGGAGACAGAGCTTGCAGTGAGCTGAGATTGTGCCATGGCACTCCAGCCTGGGCAACAACAGTGAAACTCCGTATCAGAAAAGTAAATAAAAATAAAAAATAAATTAGCCGGGCTTGGTGGCAGGCACCTGTCATCCCAGGTACTCAGGAGGCTGGGGCAGCAGAATCGCTTGAACCCGGGAGGTTGCTCCATGTATGGGTGGCTGGGGCATAGGTATTTCCAACCCTTGGGGGCCTAGGGATAAAATTCAGGGGCTCTACAAACAAGGAACGAGAAGAGATTTCACTCTGATTTTCACTACCTCTTCCTAAGATGGGCTATTCCCGCCAACCATGAGCGTACATTAAACCACAGCCGGGATACAAGAGCCTGAGGGAGCCGGGTGCGGTGGCTCACACCTGTCATCCCAGCACTTTGGAGGCCGAGGTGGATCAACTGAGGGATCGGGAGTTCGAGACCAGCCTGACCGACATGGAGAATCCCCGTCTCTACTAAAAATACAAAATTATCCGGGCGTGGTGGTGCGCACCTGTCATCCCAGCTACTAGGGAGGCTGAGGCAGGAGAATCGCTTAAACCTGGGAGGCGGAGGTTGCAGTGAGCCAAGATCGTGCCCCTGCACTCCAGCCAGGGCAACCAGAGTGGAACTCTGAAAAAAAACCAAACAAACAAAATAACAAAAAACAAAAAATCCTGTGGCTTGCTGACAGAGAAACCACAGATATTTTCATGTCACATGAGAGCTGTTGCGGACGTCTCAAAATACCACCAGCACATGACTCCGTTTCGCAATGCTGCTGTTTTTTTGTTTTTGTTTTGAGACAGAGTCTCACTCTGTCGCCCAGGCTGGAGCGCAGTGGCATCATCTCGGCTCACCGCAACCTCCACCTCCTGGGTTCAAGTGATTCTCCTGCCTCAGCCTCCTGAGTAGCTGGGACGACAGGCACCTGCCACCATGCCTGGCTAATTTTTATATTTCTAGTAGAGACGGGATTTCACCATATTGACCAGGCTGGTCTCAAACTCCTGACCTCAGGTGATCCTCCCGCCTCGGCCTCCCAAAGTGCCGGGATGACAGGCGTGAGCCACCGTGCCCGGCTAAGATCTGCTGGTTTTAGTATCCTCATCGCCACTACCTGCAGCCATCATCTTGGTGTTGCTGTCACAGAAGTTAACCTGCAGGCATCTCTCTGCCTAGGGCTTGTTCAGCCACGAAGCAGTTTTACTCAAAAAAAAAAAAAAAAAAAAAAAAGGCCTGGGGGAAAAAACCGGCGATTGCCTGAGAGAAAGAAACCCATTCCCTCAGCCCATGAAGGCAGCCACGGATGCTTTCATTCCAGTCGCCTCTTTAGATCTTTGGAAACTGCAGTTGTTCAACATCCGGGCTCACCTCATCAAGACCGCTGTACTGTTTAATACCGTTACCCAACGCACTGAACACCCATTCGCGGAGGAAGCTTTAAAAAAAATAAACGCATCCCGGCCGGGCGCAGCGGCTCATGCCTGTCGTCCCAGCACTTTGGGAGGCTGAGGCCGGCAGATCCCTTGAGGTCAGGAGTTCGAGACCAGCCTGGTCAACATAGTGAAACCCCCACCTCTACTAAAAAATAGAAAAATTAGGCCGGGCACGGCAGCTCACGCCTGTCATCCCAGCACTTTGGGAGGCCAAGGCGGGCGGATTGCGAGGTCAGGAGATCGAGACCATCCTGGCTAACACGGTGAAACCCCGTCTCTACTAAAAATACAAAAAACTAGCCGGGCAAGGTGGCGGGAGCCTGTAGTCCCAGCTACTCGGGAGGCTGAGGCAGGAGAATGGCGTGAACCCGGGAGACGGAGCTTGCAGCAAGCTGAGATTGTGCCACTGGGCTCCAGCCTGGGGGACAGAGCAAGACTCCATCTAAAAAACAAACAAACCAAAAAAAAAAAAATAGAAAACTTAGTTGGACGTGGTGGCACGTGCCTGTAATCCCAGAGCTTTGGGAGGCCAAGGTGGGTGGATCACCTGAGGTCAGGAGTTTGAGACCAGCCTGGTCAATATGGTGAAACCCTGTCTCTACCAAAAATACAAAAAATTAGCCGGGCGTGGTGGCAGGTGCCTGTCATCCCAGCTATTCGAGAGGCTGAGGCAGAACTGCTTGAACCCGGGAGGTGGAGGTTGCAGTGAGCTGAGATCATACCACTGCACTCCAGCCTGGGCAACAAGAGTGAAACTCCATATCAGAAAAATAAATAAATAAATAAATAAAAATTAAAAATAAAATAATTAGCCAGGCTTGGTGGCTGGCGCCTGTCATCCCAGCTACTTGGGACGCTGAGGCAGGAGAATCGCTTGAACCCAGGAGGCAGAGGCTGCAGTGAGCCGAGATCACACCACTGCACTCCAACCTGGGAGACAGAGCGAGACTCTGTCTCAAAAAAAAGAAAAAGAATAAATAAATAAATAAATCTCTGATTTATCTCTATGTTTGCATTAAAGTAAAATTCATAAAATTCACCATTAACCATTCTTGTTTTGTGTGTGTGTGTGTGGTTTTTTTGTTTCTGTTTTTTCTTTCTTTTTTTTTTTTTTTGAGACAGAATCTCGCTCTGTCTCCCAGGCTGGAGTGCAATGGTGCGATCTCGGCTCACTGCAACCTCCGCCTCCCGGGTTCACACCATTCTCCTGCCTCAGTGTCCCGAGTGGCTGGGACTACAGGCACGCACCACCAAGCCCAGCTAATTTGTGTATTTTCAGTAGAGACGGGGTTTCACCATATTGGCCAGGCTGGTCTCGAACTCCTGACCTCGTGATCTGCCCGCCTCAGCCTCCCAAAATGCTGGGATGACAGGTGTGAGTCACGGCGGCCGGCCCGATGTACCCACATATATTGATTGACGTCTCATGTCTGCCTAAAATGCCTAAAACGAAGCTGCCCCCGGACCACCTTGGGCACACATCCTCTGGACCTCCTGAGGCTTTGTTGCAGGTGCACGTCTCTCCCGGTGGGAAATAAACCTCCTGAAATGATGGAGACTCGGTGGGAAATAAACCTCCTGAAATGATGGAGACTCGGTGGGAAATAAACCTCCTGAAACGATGGAGAGTCATCATTTTTCTCCATTGACACTCCCCACAGTGGAACGTGAGTGTGATGAACGCGTCTTCTCCCCACCTTGTCCCACAGAGCGTATCCTACCTGGGACACCATGAAGCCGTTGGTGTACTCATTGAGGAGGCGATAGCCGTCGTCCCCTGAGGAACCCATGTCGTCTCCAATCCAGCCGCGGCGTCCGGAGCCTCTGGAGCGTTTGCTTCTAGGAGCACGGAGCCTGCTGGCAGGCTGGGAAAGAGGGACCCGCTCACGGCTGCTGCCTGAATCTCCCTTTTGGCTGCCCAGTACTCAAACAAAGACAGATCACTCTAGAAACTCGCATTAACCTTATTAGGGGATCACAAAGCGTGTCGGAATTCCCTGGCTTTCTGCGCGGGGCCGTTCCGCAGCCCTAAAATAGCCTGCCTGAGGCCTCCCCTGAGCCGTGGAGTCATCGGCTGCAGAACTGATCCCAGAGCAATATGCTCTCCCCCCTCATTAGCACTAAACGAATCGTCTCACGGATGGAACAGGTTCTGGATTCATTTCTGGGGGTTGCACGAATTTCCGCAAACTGGGCGGCTCACAAAACAGTTCTCTCACACTTCTGGAGGCTGGAAGTTCAACATCAAGATGCCAGCAGGCCAGCCTGGGCAACATAGCGAGACCCCCTTTTTTTTTTTTTTTTTTTTTTTGGTTGAGATGGAGTCTTGCTCTGTTACCAGGCTGCAGTACAGTGGCACAATCTCAGCTCACTGCAACCTCCACCTCCCAGGTTCAAGTGATTCTCCCGCCTCAGCCTCCCGAGTAGCTGGGACTACAGGTGCCTGCCACCACGCCTGGGTAATTTTTGTATTTTTAGTAGAGACAGGGTTTTGCCATGTTGCCCAGGCTGGTCTCGAACTCCTGACCTCAGGTGATCCGCCCGCCTCATCCTTCCAAAGTGTTGGGATGACAGGCATGAGCCACTGCACCTGGCTACTTTTTGAATTCTTTGTAGAGATGGGGGTTTCACTGTGTTGCCCAGGCTGGTCTCGAAATCCTGACTTCAAGAGATTCTCCCACTTCAGCCTAGATATCTTGCAAGGTTTATTTGAACAATCTAAATGCCTGCATATAATTAATATGTGATCGTGCCAGGGCCAGGTGCGGGGGCTCACGCCTGTCATCCCAGCACTTTGGGAGGCCGAGGCGGGCAGATCACGAGGTCAGGAGATCGAGACCATCCTGGCTACAACGGTGAAACCCTGTCTCTACTAAAAATAAAAAAACTAGCCGGGCGAGGTGGCGGGCGCCTGTAGTCCCAGCTACTCGGGAGGCTGAGGCAGGAGAATGGCGTAAGCCCGGGAGGCAGAGCTTGCAGTGAGCTGAGATCCAGCCACTGCACTCCAGCCTGGGCGACAGAGCCAGACTCCATCTCAAAAAAAAAAAAAAAAAAAAAAAAA